CCTTTATTGACATTTTAAAGATGCATTTAAATAAATATATATATATATTCCATGTATATTCACCTGGCTAATTTTTGTAGAATAAGGTCACCAGTATAAAATGAGCAGACAGGTGAGGATTGAAGTCATGGGATGTATAGGAGACATGGTAATGACTGTTCTTAAGCCCTGCCGTTTCGATAACAATCAGCTAGACTGTTGGCTTGTGGCGTCCCTGTGCTTAGCACAGGCAGTGGACACTAGGTGCACTGCCTTGTTCTATTGAAATCCACAAAAGAAATATTCAGAATTTTGTCTATGAGACAAATACCCTTTCCCAAGGTTGTTACTGATAGGTTGGTAATCAGCATATCTAGTGAGGGCTGCCTTGTTTTTTTGTAATCAAAAAAACTAATGTTAATGTGGTTTCGATAGTGAGGTGATTTAGCTTAGGCCTGGTGTACATGACTCATTAGTACTCACCCTGTTTCTTTTCTGTATTCCCCAGATATTTGGAATTTTCAGTGAGGGCTGTTTTGCAAATATTTGTTTTCCACCCTATAAAAAAGAACTGCCCTTTTTGGTTATGTGTTTCACCTTTAGTGTTGGGGAACCATCTCTTCTGGAAAGAAAAGGGGGCTTATTTGGTAGGAGGAACGGAAGTAATTATCATTCTGGCCCTTTTAGGAATTGGCAGGATAGAAGGAAAACCAAATGGTTTTCAAAGTTTTAATTTCATTAAAACTTGACCCCAAACATATCAGGTAGACTTCTGCTTTTCCATTTTCTGTATTTGGGGCAAAAGGATTCTTGACCTCCCCAAGTTGAATAAAGGGGAGAGGGAGGCCTGTTTGTCTTGAAGCTGTGGTCTCCAGGACCCCTCGCAGGCCGTTTGTATACTTAGAAACAAAGTCACCTCTTGGCAGGGGTCACACCGCTCAGAGGCCAGTAGTCAAGCTTCGGTTTTAGGTCACCAGCCTTTGAAGAGGCAGTGCCCGGTTTCCTTTGGCAAAGACAGCCTGCCCCTTCTCAGTTCATTTCAGCCACTTGGGCACAAAGGTAACTTCCTCAAAATAGAAACCTTTGAAGACTCTCTCTGGTGCATCTGCGAATCATTACATTGGTCCTGAATTCTAGTTTTTTAGAATTTTGAAAATGCTATTGAGCTTTCAAATCAACTTTAAGGAAAAGTTGATGGTCTTGGTATTTTCTTCTGAAAGATAGTGTGGTTACTGTTTACAGCAAACACATGGGTTATGGCTTGTTCAGATCCACACATGGAGTTTATTCTTAACTCCAGGACTATTCCTGGAAGCATGACCTCAGGCAAGTCACTGAACTTCTGTTTCCTCACCTATAAAATGATTGCAATAAAATCCACCCGTAGTGTCGCTATGAGGCAAGAACTACCTGAGGCCGAGTGTGTGGAAAACATACTTTATCGCACTGAGCGGATACAGGTTCTTCTCCCACCTTGAGGACAGGTGAGGGTCTGCACCCCAAGAAGTTTGGCGTGGACCATGATGAAGGATTTGAGCAGTCACGCGACTTCACCGCTTACTCCCAGCTCGTGCCTTACTTGTGTTTATGCTTCTTTGCTAGGCAAGAAGAGATAGCAGGAAAGTTCTTTTGCTTGTACCCCAAGATTAGGTAACCTCAAACAACGACAATAAGCCATAGCAATACTAATCTTCGCAACTGTGATTTATAAAACTTTTCTTCAATGCTGGGCCCTGAACCAAGCACCACTACCTCCTTTAATCTTCAGCCGTGTTCTGTGTTACCTGTTTTATGTCCCAATAATACATGAGAAAATTGAACAGTCAGGTCAAGTCTGACTGCAGACCCTTCATGCTTTGCATACAACACCTTGCTTTTCTGCTGTGTCTCCAGTGCCTCCATTGAAATATGATGTTTTACCCTCGATTTCCTTTCATAGGCCCATACACTGTGGTCCCTGAGTTCCAGTAGCATAGTGTGGGGCCTTTGATGTTAGAGCAAAAAAGAGTTCAAGTCACCCCCCGACTCAGCCTTGACCCCCGAGCCCATTGATGAGTTAAAAGAGCCCAAAAAAGGGTACTCAGCTGACAGGTTCATTCAGTACACAGGTGTGCCCAAGGCTCTGCGTGTGTTTCGTACTGTCCCGTAAACGCCCTGCCTGGTGGCACAGAAACTGTAACTCCTAGATCCCGATAGGAGTGGGAGCTTACTGCAAGCAACAAGAGTTGATGTATGGACAGATGGCCAGTCGTCTCTAGATGATGAAGGACAGTTCCTTTGCCCTTAGGACCCATAATACTGGGGAACTAGGAATCAGGTACCTGCTCTCACTCGCCTTCTCGTGTCTTACTGCTTTGCACCGTGTCTTTCCCGAGGCTGCCTGTGCTCTTCTCCTTTTTACCATGGATAATTTCTGGTTTTGCTTATTATTGAAAAGACCATGTGATAGCATTTGAGAAAATTTGCAAAAAGATCAGATCCTCTGCCCCATCCCATGCATGCTCTTACCTCCCTAACACAACAGTGACTTTTCCTTTATTTTTTAATTCTCTTCCAGCACAGACACGCTCTTCTCTTGCAGTGTAGTTCCCTGGTCTCAGAACTGCCTGAAATCTGTCAGGAAATTGAAATAGAGGCTGGGCCCATGTCAGACAGAGCTTGATAGACTCGCCCTTTTCATTTCTGTATCAAATCTAATACAGAGTACAGATTTTGAAACCTGGTAAAACTATCAGAGGAGAGGAGTTGAGCCTAAAGATGTCACAGGGGGCCTTGGCCACTCTCCCCAAATATGCAGCATTGTGGACAACTACCTTCCGGGTCCAGTGTCAGGCTTCCCTTTTGTGGCCAGAGATCCATGTTGCAGGTCACAGATTTATTTATATTTTTCTAAGATTTATTTATTTATACATACAAGAACTGGGGTACAGGCCAGAGGTGCAGAGGATGAGAGGATTTTCCAGAGACAGAGTGGGGAACAGAATAGGCAGGTTGAACAAAATACACTGTCGAGGGGAACAGTGGTCTGCTGTGCCATGTGGGTCAGCTCCCTGGCTCGGGAACGAACCTGTGCTGCAGGGGTTGTGACCAGCCTAATAGTGCTGCACTTTACCCCTTAGACCAGCAGGGAGGCCCAGGTCACAGATTTAAACCACACATCCTCAGTATAGATTTTGAGGGTTTTTTAGCCACCTGAATTTGGGAAACTTAAGGTTGTACAAAGATAAATCATGGTTTTTTGGTTTTGGGGGTTTTTGCTGCCATATTGTTACTATTAGCTGTGACTCAAAGAAGGGGGGTGTATAGAAAATAACAGTTGCTTCTAGTTGCTTCTACTTAGTATGAACTCTTTGGATCTCAGGTCTCTAATCTCTTGATGGGCCTCAGTCCTTGAAACCCTACAGCAAGCTTAGGAGGCTGTCCCTGTTTTAGAGACTGGGAGACCTTTGTCCAATATGTACCTGCTGTGCCATGCACCCCAAGTTTTGTGGGTGAGCTGGCTGGGTCCAAACCCCTTACGCTTTTCCAATGCACATTCTCCGGGTAGGCAGCTTGGCCCAGGGCTCCTTTTATGAAGGGTTTCTCATTTCCTGTGAGTACTTGGGAGGACTCTAGTTGGAAATATACCAGTCTAAACTCGAAAGGTGGATAGGAGCTGCTGGGTGAATAGGGACATGGGACTTCTCATCTGACCCCTGTTGGGTTCTGACCCCCAGGGCTCTGTATCAGCTATGTTTGTCACTTTAGGTTGGGTTCCTGCCTTGGCAGCAGGAGAGGCAGGTGTGGGGGCTGGGAGGTCTGGAGTTCACGGTCTAGACCAGGGATTGGAAGGCTGCATATTAGAATTCACCTAAGGAACATTAAAAATTACTGCTGCCCAGCTTCATTCTCCAGGATTCCAATATACTTTAAATGGGGCCAGACATTTTTAGAGACTCCTTGGTGATTCTGCCACAGACTGGGTGAGAGAGAGCCCTTGCTTTAGACACACTCTTTCTGAGCCACCTATATATGTTATACCGAAACAAGATATGAAAAGGTTTCCTTTATAAATTAAACAACTTAACAGGGTTTGGAGGGTTTTTTGGTGAATGAGAAATTAAGTTCTTTCCTTTTTTTCTGTATCAGCCCTTTGTAGCCTTGTGCTACCTCATTTTATTGTGTTTGGCAGAAATTGCACTTTTTACAAATGGAAAGTTTATAAATCTATCAGTGTCATGTTTCCAACAACTCAGATAATGATTAGCATTTTGGGGGCAATGACATTTTTAAAATTAAAGTATGTGTTTTTTTCTTTTTTAGGCATAATGTAATCGCACACTTAGTAGACTGCAGGAGAGTGAAAATGTAACCTTGATATGTATTAGAAAACAGAAAATTTGTGGGGCTCACTTTGCTGCAATATTTACTATGTTGTGGTATTCTTGGAACCAGTTCTGCACTACCTCTAAGATATGCCTGTCCCTGGATGCTTCTCCATGGTCTTTACCAACTTTGCACTGACAACCACATGCTGGCCAGCCTTGATGCAGAAACTTTAGATTGGTTGTTTAGGGGCCTGGTGAAATAAAGACTCAGCACTCTTAGTTCTGCTGGAAGAAGTCGGTGGAAGGCAAGTGCCTTCTGGGTGGTAATGCTATTAATACCACACACAGACTTCTGGTTGGGCTGGTTCCACTGTACACGGTGAGCTCCAGAGGGCCTCGCTGTCATGTTCGGTAGAGTCAGGTAAAACTGATGGCGACAATTATTTGTTGCATTGAGCATTTTAAACAGTGTCTACTACTATGTCTACAAAGTCTTTTTTTAAGTACTTGGGAAAATAAAAGATACGATTGTTTTAACCCTAAACCTTGCCCATTTTTCTGAGCATCTTCAGTTTTTCAAAGGCACAGACCCTGGATGGTTGAAGGCTCATGTCTGGAGTCTCGAGACTACTGCCCCTCGTCCAGGTCTGGATGGTCGACTCCCAGGTTGATCAAAGGGTTTGTAATGAGACTGTTTTTGTTGATTTCTTACAGTACAACAAACACCTCTTCGTGCACATTGGGCATGCCAACCATTCTTACAGTGACCCATTGCTCGAATCAGTCGACATTCGTCAGATTTATGACAAATTTCCTGAAAAGAAAGGTGGCTTAAAGGAACTGTTTGGAAAGGGCCCTCAAAATGCCTTCTTCCTCGTAAAATTCTGGGTGAGTAAGACATTGCTATGATTTGGGTGGTGGTTGTAGGAATGGTCGCGTCCTGTGTGTGAGCACGCGGTAGCCCGGCCGCCTCCACATGCAGAGGGCTGCACCCTCGTGTGCCCCCACCCGATGGCCAGGGGATCACAAACTCATTCCCCTGTGGGCTGTCCCCACGCTGGCCCACGGCACCAGCACGCGTGCACCCAGGCGCCGTTCTCTGTCCCTGCCAGAGAGCGAGAGGGACAGACGGAACAGCCTCTTTGGGCTTCCTAGCTCACTCATGCAGTGACAGAAGGCTCCTCAGATGCTGGTTCACGGTGGAAAATGTGCAGCTCTCATCCCTCTTTGTGTCTTCTCACTCCACTGAGCACAGCGACCTGTAAATTCACTGGCGCATAGGACCAGACGCACAGCAAAGATCGCTAGGCCTGGGGTGAAGAGGAAGTGACTGGCAGCTTCCAATTTTACAAGTGACAGAGAGGGCAAAAGCCTTTGCTCTCTGTTTGCCACCCTTATGCTCTAAAACAAGGGAACATTCCGCAGCTGCTAGGGCTTGCTGATGTCCCAAGGCTTCAGAAGGGAGCTTTGCGATTCCTTTGCCAGTGGGGCTGGGGCTAGGAGACTGCTGAGGGGTCAGGCGTTCAAGTGGCCATGCAGATAATGTGTGTGCTGGGGTGCAAAGAGGGGAGGCAGGAGACCAATGAGCTGCTTAACACAGAGAATTTACAATTTTTCATTCTATCCAAGAATTTTAAAAAACAGTTGTTTCAGATGTTTGTGTTCCTTAGCAAGGCATCAGAGACTCTAAATGAAGGCGGTTCCCCGGTGTTCTTCCTCTGCTCTGTGCCCAGCTTGTATGTGTGTGTGTAGTTGTGCTTTTTCCCCCCTGGCCTCCTCTCCCAATGGGCCAGCTTCTCCTCCTTTTGAGATGTTGATGCCTTTATTCCAGCCCCTTGTTTGCCAAAATGGACCGTTGATTTTCCTCTTACTCCCATCACATTTTGCAGTTAATCAGTTCCTGTGCTGTGTCATAGTTATTTGGAAATATGTTCTACTCTTCTCCGGACTCGGGCTGCCTATTCATAGAAGAGGCTCCATTTACTGAATACCCGCTGTGGGCTGGGAGCTGCACTAATGCTTCACGTGCATTCCATCCAGTCCTTGTGGTGTTAAGTGGAATTTGCCTCAGATTCAACTAAGAAAACAGACACTGAGAGGTAGACAGGACACACCCCAGTGGTCAGAGTCCTGGGGCCTGACATCAGATCAGTTGGACTTTAGGGTCTCTGCTCTGTTACCCAAATGCTCTGTGCCCTGTGGGTCCTGGCTTTGGGTTGTGGCGACCCTGCTCTCCCTATCCATCTCCCTAACACTAAGCAAGTAAGTGCCCTCCTTAAAGAGCCCAACAAACAGGGAAGCAAATGGATGAACAAAGGGGAAATTCGTTATTTCAAGTTCCTTGGGAGGAAATTTGCATGTGATTTTAGTTTTTTTCCATTTATGCTTTTTGCATTTCATGCTTCCATTTTGAATGATTGTAGAAGTAGACTCCTACTTTTATTACTATCTGAGAGATGGATAATACATGTGAACAGGCTGAACAAGCATTAACTCAGTGACTGCCATCCAGTGTTCTAAATGGTGAGTGGGAATCACTGACCGTGTGGTAAGACCAGGATTTTGCAGGTATAGCTTTCCCGGAACCCCTGCATCAGTCCTCAGTATCCTTTCTGAGGGTTGACAGGGTCAAACTATTTTTAGTCTGACTCGGAAGCATCGTCTGTCTTTTATGCTCTTCTGATCTGCTCACTGGTGCAGCATTCAGAAGTGACCAGGCACAACTGCTGAACACAGCTTAAAAGCTCAAAGCGCCACTTCACACCACGAGCACCCTTGTGGATTTTACTACATCTTTAACCTAAGGTACTGATTGAAAATAAATTCAGGGTGCCTGAATCAAGAAAACACAATCTTTGTGGCCCAAGTAAAATATAAGCCTTCAATTAAAAATAGGAATTTTGGAAAGCTGTATCCACTTGGGTGAGTATCACAGCTTCCCGGTATTTAAAAGACTGTTCAGATGAGATCTACAGTCTTAATTCACAATGTGATTTTTTGATATTGTGCAAAGTAGCCAATAGATTTTAATGTAGCAGAGATGAAAAGTTCAATGAATGAAAAGTTCAAATTCCATTCAGAAGTTAATCTCTAAGAAACTACAACTTAATCAGGTTTGGATGGTGCATCAGAGAAAAGTGACCACACTCTGCCAAGGAGCCTATAAAAAATGCTGTTCCTTTCCTCTTACATGTTTATCCAGGACTGGCTTTTCTTCAGGTGCCTAGCCAATATATCATATAAATTGAGTGTTGAGACAGGGATGAGAATCTAGGTACTTCCCATTAAGCCACACAGTAAGTAGATTTGCGAAATGTAAAAAAGGACAACTCTTCTCACTGATTTATTATTAATTTGGGGGGGGGGGGTTTGGCTTTGAAAATACTACGCTTAAAAAAAAAGTATGTTAACAGGTAATGAACTTGTTATTGTTTACAAATGGGGTAGAGATATCTTCAATTTCCAATATAGAACATTTAGATAATTAAGAGCCAGGGAAACAAAAAGCACATTGAGGTTCTCCATAAATTTTAAAAGTTAAAGGGGTCCTGAGGTCAAAAAGTTTGAGAGCTGCTAACTGTGAAGGATATAAAAAGAAACTATTCTACTCAAGTCAGTTAAAAGTAATCAGAAATTATGGGATATGATGAAAAGAAACCATTTTCAGTACTTCCAAATTTACAGTCTTGATTTTTACTGATAAGATTTCTTATAATTAGCTTATTACTTTTGAATATAAAATATAATGGAAAATGCTTAGGAAGTTGTTTTTGTTTTCTGTTCTAAAATTACCCTTGTTTTACTCAGTGAGTAATTTTAATAAATATTCTCAGCTATGGGCCCTTCAATATTGAATCCTCAAATAATGAAGTCTAGATTGCAGATGTTTAGAGTGTGGTGACTGGTTTGAGATGTGCAAATTTAGAAATAATTACCCTGAGATCAGATAGTAGTTTACTAAATTAAGACTCAGAATTAAAATTGAGCACTTTTCTATGAAGATGATAGAAGACATCACTCCTTCAGTATAATTGTTAGGAATACTTAACCTTAATTAAGAAATTCAGTCACAATGATGTTAAAATAATGAAGAAAACAGTTCCCATTAGGTTTGCCATGTGCTGCAATTTGAAATCTCTTTGGCTTCCTCTAATGACTCAGTAAGAACGAATCACACATAGAATATCTCTCCTTGAATATCAGTGGGTGTTTCTTAAGTAGGTAAACACTCCCTTTGGAATAGTTTTTAGCATTTTTTAAAGCAAATTTCCTTAGCAGATTTTATTTTTGTGTGAATTCATTGAATTTCAATACAGATTCCATATCCTCTACCTTCCTTGTTCCTTCCTTTTTCTTCTTTCTCAAACATGTCATTTATCCCTCCAGTACATAATTCTAAATTCATTCTTAAATGCACCCATGTAAAATAACCAAATGTAACACTACTACTTGTGTTGTTTGAATCAAGGAATGCATTGCATTGGGTACCCTGCTTTTTTTCTCTTATCAAACACCCTTCTATGTAGCCATATGTCATCAAATATTTAATTACCATTTTTAGCAACTACAAAATATCTTATTTCCTCAGTATACCATACTTAGCCATTCTTATTAGTTATTGGTAATGTGGCTTTTAGTATATATGTATGCTTGTGTGCATATATGTATATATAATGTGTGTATGTGTAAACATACATAATGTGTGTGTATGTACATAAATAACAAAGCTGCTTTCAAATATTGTCAAAAAAGGTATCTTCATCAGCCTTGTCCCTGGTGTAATTTAAAGCAAAATGATTTTATTATCACTTTATTTTTTGAATCCCTCTATATCTACAGTGATTTTTTTTTCTTTCTACTAAGAGTCTAACCCTTTTTCATTCTGTGTAGATGATTAGTAAAGTCAGATGCATTTATTTCCTCTCAATTATTTTTTTTTATTTATGCATGCAAGAACTGGGGTACAGGCCGCAGGTGCAGGGACTGTGGGAAGAGAGGTTTTATAAGAAACAGAGTGGGAAGCAGAACAGGCAGACTGACTGAAATACACTGCTGAGGGGAGCAGCTGGTGGGACAGAAGAGGTCTGCTGGGCCATGTGGGTCACCTGGCCGGGGATTGAACTTGTGCTGCAGTGGCTGGTGACAGTTTCACAGGACTGAGACTTAGCCCCTTAGGGAGGCTCAGTAGTTTCAATTGTAAGACGTACACTTGATCCCATCTCGGTGTTCTAGCAGTGGGATGCCTCTTACTGCTGCCATCATGAGCCCTTTGCCCCCCAACACAGACCAACAAGTCCTAGGGTGGCTGTTACCATTGCTCTTGGTGACCCAGCCTGTGTAGCGGGGTCTTGCTGTTCTTGTCCCCTTAGTTGTTTGCATCAGTGGTACTGTGCACTAGTGGCACAAATGTTAGCTTAAATTTGAATCCTTTACTAAAGCACCTCTTAAATTACAGTTTGTTGCAGCACAGACCTGATTGTTATGATTGAGGAGGCACATGGCACCAGATTTGTGTGTGAGGCCAGCCGTTACATGGGCAAATAACCATCTACTTCTCTTTTGTGTAAAGCAAATATCAGGCTCTGTGTGAGCCCTAAGGAGGAAAGATGCCCACCCATCAGTGGACAGAACTCTGCTTCATTTCAACCCTAAAGTTCATACAGATGGGTTTCTAGTGATATGACAGACAAAGTAACTCATTGCAAATAAAATGTCAGCTGTCTTGAAATTGATCACAGAATTCCTAAAGTTAGCAGAGGTGTTTGTGATTCAGTTAAGTGTCCTGAAAGACAAAAGCCCACATGGGGCTTGCAACTGACTTTCCGAAGCAGTTAATTTCTAGGCAAGTGTACTTAAGGATATAAACAAAAGTATGGATTTAATCAAAT